CCAAATAATAATATACTAAAGAAAAAACTTCAGCACTTAGTGATGAAAACAGTGTTGATTCCACTGATGTTCAAAATATATAAAACAGAATTAAAATGTGTTTCATTCAACTTGCACTCTCTGAGATAATAAATCCACAAACACGTCATACCAATTCACACAGGCACAACATCTCAGGTGAAGGTGGACTTTTATATAGAGAGTGTTCCCTGCCAGGTATACAGGCAATTCCTGGCAGCCATTCACACTTTCACTCAACTGAGAGGAAGAAATGTCTATAAAACTCAAGAGTAAAAAAAATAAAAAATAAAAGGGACTCACTTGAAAAGAAACCTCACAAAAACTTTGACTCAAACTGAAATAAAAATAGATTTTTACATAAACTCTAGAATTATCATTGGGGTTTGTTTTGACTTGTGTACACGTTCTGCCAAATTCATCATTAATAAAAAACGGCTTTTTCCAGAGGGTGTGAAATGTTGTTTCATAAAGACAAAGTTAGTTATTTGAAGATTTGGTGAAAAACCTGTTCGGTAACTTGTTATCACATTAATTTATCATAGCATCGCAACACAGGTCATTGGCAAGCAGTGGGCAAACATTTGTGTTAGCTGCTGCAATGAGCCGTTGATGCCAATGATTGAACGACTCTAAATAACTTTGTCATTATCTAAATCATGGGGTAACAAAGACCAAGGTGTAGAAGGTGGTGTTAACTCACAAGTTCATGAAACGAGGGAAACCAATATCAAGTGGGACTCTGTGCTTTTGCTCACAAGTGAGGCTAAGTACCTTGTTAGCCTGTGTGATTTGTACCTGTTCATTTTACCAATAACACAGTTGGCAAGCATTTTCCACACAAATATGATATATTATTTATATATAAATATCAGTTAACATAACATAGAAAACTTACAGATGATGCTTTTTACAAGCCTAGACAGTAGGATGGTAGTAGATGAGACGCATGCTTTATACAGTGGGAGAAAATGGCCGCGTTTAGGTTCTTATTCTTCTTCTCTGGGATTTTTTGGCAGATCGCAAAGAGCTTAAAGGTGCATACTATACAAGAGTGTGTATCATCATGTCACTTAACTGCCCTAGAATTTAAATTCTGCCTGCCACCCATGTGTAATACAAGAATGGGAAAAAAGAGCTGCCACCTGTATAAATCTTCCTGTATAAACAAGCTACTTCCTGTTGTAACAAAACAACCACTAGGAGGTGCTAATAAAACTCCTGAAATCAATCAAATGCTTAGATACTTTATTGATCCCGAGGGAAATTCAATGGCCAGACAGAAATAAAGACTAAACAGCGCATTGAGTTGTACACTATAAAGGAAGTGTCATAAATTCCTTATTGCTTTTTTGATTTATCGGTAAAAGAAACTGTAAATCTTTTTACAAATGTTCATAAATATGCTACAGCTAGCAGCATTCCACCAGCGGGAGTACTAAATGTTTGGACTGGGGGGGGGGGTGCCAAACTGGGGCACTGGTTTTTGACAAAATATTTTTCATTAACATGCCGAGCGCAAGATGTTCTGTTAATAGTAAGAAATGTTTCATTAATGAACTTGTGTGTCCACAGAAGATGTCCTCCTTTTTGAAAAAATTAATCTTAAAACAAAACTTTTTCATCAATTTCTTTTTTTTTTTTCTACACAATAAGTGAAATGAATTAAAATTGTACTTTAATGTGATCAAGTCTGGAAAATACCGTGTTTTTTTATGTATACATGCTGTACAGATGAGTCCTTTTTTGGTCATTTGAATTTATGCTGCAAATGTAGAGATAAAGCCTTACTTTGGGTGATAAATAGAAAATTATTACTCAGAACACACAAGGAGTGAAGATTAATGTCACTGTCCTGGTCTGTTAGACAAACACTCTCATTAATGGATATTCTATGACCAACACCACCATGATCCAGGCTTAGTGCTGCTTCTGCCACTGTGTATAATTACCACTGTATGTAGATCCTGCTGTTTCAAATGAGTTATGTTCTAAATGAGGAGCTCTTCGAGAGGCTTGTACAGGGCATGTGGTCTGCCAAATGCAACCACTGAGATCAGACAAGGCTCCAAAACTCTAGTGTGAGACAAATTGCCAAACAGACAGCAGGTGCGAGAGAGAGAGAGAGAGAGAAAGAGAGAGAGAGAGTGAGTGTATGATGAGGAAGCCATAAGCGTACCTATTCATCTCCTTGCCAGTAGCAATAGGTACAGAGGCATGGCAGCCTTACAAGGTCAATATTTTACTTTTGGGTTGTGCACTATAATTAAATTACAAGCAAAGTGTCCCATACAGGAGAGCACACATACACAGAGATGTAGGCCCTTTGGGCTAAACAAATTGAGTCATGAGAGGAGATGTTGGGGAATTTCGTTGCTGCAACACGGCTGATTAAAAGTCATTTCAACATGTTGCAGGACATCAGGAGTCACATTTAACAGCCTCTGCATGTCAACATGCATTTGCTCAAAGAAGCTTGAGACAACAGCTATTGATGAGCCTAACAGATGTAGGCTAAACAAGTGATAAGAGGGGCAGATACATTAACGGACTGTCAACTTTATAAGTGTAGCACTGCCAAAAATCAACTAACTCTACAATAATGACTCTTTAAATCCCAGAACTCATTTTAATTTGAAAAAAACAAAAATGGTTAAAGTAACAGCTTGATTATCCAAATACTTCGGTGATACAGGAGAAATTCTTGCTGAAATATGAAGTGAATCTATCTTTAAGAGAAAGGCAAGAGGTGCTGGTCGTCATACAACAGCTCTCCCATTGGCTGGGCGAACCAGGAAGTCAATCTTCCTCTGACGCAGGCGCTCCAGCTTCCTGAAAGTCAACAGCAACAGCCGAATATTAGCTCAACATGGCTCCTAAACCCGCTGCAGCGATCTCTGGACTGTTGATTCTTTGTCTTGTCTCACCGGCGGAGGCTTACGACTCCGGGGACGCCTTAGCCCTGATCCTGGGCACCATCCTCACCATGGTGGGTTTCTGCGCCTTCCTCGGCTGGTACGCGCGGAGGCGGAACGACACGTTCTGAGAGAGAGAGACTCACAGGATCATGATCCTGGACTGTCCTGATGTCATCCAGCGCATGTATTCCTCTCACGGATATTTTATGGGCTTTCTGACACACTGTTTGTGTCGAAGCTGCTGATAAGAAACATGCCTTATTGGAACTAGTGCGCCAAGTGTCGACGGGCGCACGTGTGGTGGAAGAAAACAACCAGGAAGTCCAGTTTTTCCGCTGTACTGCTGAGATTAAAAACCAAACGCTGTTGCCTTTTTATCTTAAAAACATCTGCTAAAATAATCTCCTACAAGGACGCTTCCATTGCAGTTCATATTGTCTATCCTTGGGGTGAATCATGTGATTTCCTCCTGTGTTCACGTCTGCAATGTTTCCATTGAAGCACAAAATGTCAAAGAGTTCACAAGAGAGAGATTGGAGCTTGTGTGACGAAATGTCTTTGTGAATAATAAATTGAGTATTCTGATGATCTTCACAACTCCTGGTATACACCATATGAATAATCTGCTGTTCAAGAGTGCGCTCACACCATGATGACAATTTCCAATCACTCATTTCTTTTGAAGGTATTTATTACAAGGCAGACTGTCATAGAAATGTTCTTAAATTAAGCTTGTAGGACTTAGGTCAGTCACAAAATATGAATCTGCTTCTCTTATAGGTAATGTTTAAAGTTTTCATCAATATGAGTACTAACAGCTTTGTGTGTGAGGTTGACAAAATCCCAGAGGTCTAAAGAGGAACTGTCTCTTTGGAAGGTCTGAAATAATGCACAGTGATCTGAAACATACAAAAACAGACTCAAGTAGACGTTCCTTTTTTGTAAGGGGTCATTTTCACAAATGGGTGAAAAATGTAGTGCAAATGAGCAGATGTAAATGGAATGTTCATTGAAATCAAGTAAAGCACAATCTGAAAATGTTACTTATAATCTATTTGAGTAAAGATATTTAACTTTTCACCACATGAGAAGATATAATACATTAAAAAAAAGTAATACTCAGGCTCTCGTTTAGAAAACAAAACAGCTTCATTTCTGTTATTTGACCTTTGGATGATGTTATACCAAAAGGCTGCCCAGGTACATGGATGTTAATTAAAAAATACAAGGACATTTTGCAAAAATGATTCAGAACTTGAGTGGCTGGTGGACAGCAAAACTGTTATCTTTTTTTTTCACAAGACATACAAATTTTCACAGTTGAAGTTGGCACACAGTTGTGACACTTTTTCTACACGCATGATCATCATTTATTGATGTTTAATAGCCCGGGTCAGGCGGTTGCTCAGCGTGTGTGCATGTGGCTGAATCATTGTTCACTTGTTACACTGCACATGACATCACAGCTCTTCATACATGGCTGAGAAATCAGATCCAATGAATTTATCATGCCATCTGGGCAGAATGAACAACAGTTCGCAAAGTGCTTGTCAATTATGTATATACAGTACAGGGGAAGTCATTCTACCTTGAGGTGAACCAGGCTGCCTGATTTAACCCTTTGCTTTGTACATAATGGTTAACATTTCTGCTGAGTGAAACATGTATGAGCACTTTGAAAAGTACACAGAGCTAGGGAAATAAAAGCTGTAGCGTGTTTGTGGTGTCTTTATAAGAATTAAAACAGATAAGGACACCATTAACTTAAAAAAAAAAAAAAACACTTTTAAAAAAGACAATTTCTGCCTAGACCAAACCCCATTTAGTTTTTGCATTATTTAAGTAGCTTTTATAAATTATTTTCAAACTTGTAAAACAGTAGAACTGAATCAATCTGCAACAGCAAGAAGAATGACAAATGTGTCTTAATAGGTCTAACTCAAGTGGAAAAAAAAGTAATCTGTTACATTCGGCGTTTCCAGGGGAAACGGCACGTGCTGCTGTAACGCGTTACCGGCCAGCAGCGGTCCCCTTTAGGCAGATGTTACCGTGAGAGAGAGGGAGCTGCTGCTGCTGCTGCAACAAGAGACAAGACGCGTCTTGGATCACAAATAGGGATGCAGGGCGCATGCGCACTGAGCTCCATTTACTGGAGGATATTCACCGTGGAGGAAAAAGGGGGCAGGCAACAAATCAGGCTTTTTCTAAAAGCAAAAACCCGACGAGTGCAATGTAAATAACCTTAAGGAGTGATACAAATTAGGATTATCAACAGGTAGGATTTTAATTGTTCTTTTGATCGGCTGTGCGTCTGTCTCCCTCTCTTTCTCGATCTCCTTCTTTTTTTGGCCTTGTCTTGTGTGGTGGCTGCGATTCTGGGCATTTCATAGCGGAGACTTGGGAATAATATTCTAATGGACGTATACGGATCTGCCACAACATTATGCTTTATCCAGCAAATCTGGATATAGAATAACGGTGGTGCTGGTTTTTTTTTGTATTCTTTTTTTTTTTTCCTCGGAAATCTATCTGATTCAGACGCGCGTAAAACACTCGACTGACAATCGGAGGACGCATTCAAACGCGTAAGTAGACACAACATACATGAAGTCAGATACTACCACAGGCAAAACATAATTTCCGATGAATACAAATAGCAATCGAGTACAACATCCCATGATTGTATCACCAGCAGGCTTGTTATTGTCACTTCTAGCCATCCTTGTTCAGTCTGATATTCACACCCGCGCATTGACTCGAAAAAAAAAATAATGTCGAAATGCCGTTTAAGAGGCAGTGTTACACATTATATCCACTCAACTCTTCCTCCTAATTACTAATATAAAAGAGGATCTGGAAAATGGAAGCTGGCTCAATAATCGCCCTTAATGAGAACACTGCTTATCAACGTGAGAGCTGTAATCCTGTTAACCTTTCATCAGACAAAAATACGGATGCTTTAATATGTATGCGCCCTCCGTCGGTTTTGTATGAAGGCGAGGTGAGTTTATCCGAGGCATCCACCGCTTCTGAGAGCCGTCCTCTGTTCTGCAGGGTGTAGGGTGTGATCGAGGAGAGCTTATGTTTGCACTGCATTTCTTCCAGTGTCTCACTTTGCGTTAGAAATGTCCAAAAAAAAAAAAAATCTTTGTTTGCTGATGGTTTGTGCCGTGTTTCATTTTAAGGTAAAATAGCGTCGTTTCTTAATGGGGTTTGGTGCTTTGTGCTCTAATGGTGCTTTATGTTTGGGGAAATTCCGAAGCCACCTAAAGACTAAACACGCTGTAACAGATTAATGCTTAAGTCTAATCAAGATCCATCGCCGTCTGTCTGCCTGTCCGTCTGTCTCTCTGTCTTACTGTCTGTCTCCAGACAAAGTATTCATAAGCTAAGGCAGAGCTCTGCACTGTGCCAGTCCCAATTTAAAAAATGTAAGATTAATAATTTAATAAATGTCAGGCGAAGAGAAATTATTGCTTATTACTTCTACATTGTGTAAGTGCAGTTGAAAACAATGCAGCTGTTGTTCAGCACTGAATGCTGATGGGTGGATAATGTTTTTCAGGGATTTTTTTTCTTTAGGTGTGATGAGACAAAGGAACAAAGGATGCCTTAGAGGAGAGGTCGCCTGTACGTCTGGAAACCTCTTCAAAGCACACCGCCAAATGGATCTAACGCCTCCCCCTGCCACCTCTAGATCATGATACTTGGCTGAAGCTATTCCGCTATCTTTATGATCCCTCCTCCATCTATGGCGAACTATAGCCATGCAGGGGACCACACCATCTTGCAGAATGTCTCTCCTCTCGCCACGTTCCTCAAACTGACCTCTCTGGGTTTTATCATTGGAGTCGGTGTGGTTGGAAACCTCCTGATCTCCATCCTGCTTGTCAAAGACAAGAGCTTGCATCGAGCACCCTACTATTTCCTGTTGGATTTGTGCGCATCAGATATCCTGCGCTCCGCCATCTGCTTCCCCTTCGTTTTCACCTCGGTCAAAAATGGATCTGCGTGGACATATGGGACACTGACCTGCAAAGTAATTGCCTTTCTGGGTGTGCTCTCCTGTTTCCATACGGCATTTATGCTATTCTGCGTTAGCGTCACACGCTACCTTGCCATCGCACATCACCGTTTCTACACTAAAAGGCTGACCTTCTGGACCTGTTTGGCCGTCATCTGCATGGTTTGGACATTGTCGGTGGCAATGGCATTCCCGCCGGTGCTGGACGTAGGGACGTACTCTTTTATCCGGGAGGAGGACCAGTGCACGTTCCAGCACCGTTCCTTCAGGGCAAATGATTCGTTGGGATTCATGCTCCTGCTGGCACTCATCCTCCTCGCCACACAGCTCGTTTACCTCAAGCTCATATTCTTCGTCCATGACCGCCGAAAAATGAAACCCGTCCAGTTCGTTCCTGCAGTCAGCCAGAACTGGACCTTCCATGGGCCAGGAGCAAGTGGACAGGCGGCGGCAAACTGGCTGGCTGGGTTTGGTCGAGGCCCCACTCCACCTACGTTGCTGGGAATCCGGCAGAACAGCAACGCCGCGGGTCGCAGGCGTCTTTTGGTGTTGGATGAATTCAAAACAGAGAAGAGGATTAGTAGGATGTTCTACATCATGACGTTTTTCTTCCTGGCGCTTTGGGGGCCCTATCTGGTAGCCTGCTACTGGCGGGTGTTTGCAAGGGGCCCAGTGGTCCCTGGGGGCTACCTGACGGCGGCTGTGTGGATGAGCTTCGCCCAGGCCGGAGTCAATCCTTTCATCTGCATCTTTTCCAACAGGGAGCTCCGGCGCTGCTTCAGCACCACCCTCCTCTACTGCAGAAAATCCAGGTTACCACGGGAACCCTACTGCGTTATATGAAGGTTTTGCTGTGTTTTTTTTTTTTCTCATCTATGTCTCTATTTCCCTGATTGATCTTGATATGGGCTTGTTCCCGTTGTACAGCGCACTCTCTCGTCTATCTCTCTTCTCTTCATCCTCCAGTTTTTCCTCCTGTTCCTCCTTCACCTAACCCTTCTTTTCAGAGGTAGAAGGTGGACGGCAAGACACAAGGCTCTGCCGTGGTGGTTAAACATGAAATGTATCAAACATGGAGGCTGAAGGGAAAGGGAATACGCAGGAGGTCTGGATCCCCTCCTGTGTTTATGTTCTAGTAAACAAGACGTTGGAAGGCCATGCCAATGCAGAGAAGCAAAAAGTTGAAAAAGAAAAAAAAAAAGAGAAAAAGAATTGACAAAACAATGAAAACAAAAACTCTTTGTTTGGATATTTTCATGAATCTGTGAGGTGTGACATGCATAAAAATGAAACGATAAAGAAAAATGAACAAAAACAAAGAAATGATACCTCTCAAGGAATCACTGGAAATGTTTTACATTTTAAGAGTTGCACTAAAAAGAAGATGTAAAGATGCTTTTTTTGGTTGCCAGTTGCATTGCTAGGACAACTTCTTCCTTTCTTTTTTCCCCCCCAAACTAAACAATGAATGCTTTAATTTGCAACAGACTACACAATCGCTGTAAGTAAAAGCAAAACTTGGTGACTGTTGGAATACACCACCACAAAAAGGATAAAATGGTTTTAATGTAAATGATATCTTTTTCATTTACCGGGCAGTGGTGGTGGGGAAGGGGCGGGGTGGGGTGGGGGGACTTTATGGTGGGTATTTACAATGTGTGGTTTTTGAAGTTGCAACTTGCAAAAACTAGAAATGATTTTTCTTGTAGTTTTACGATGCATATGTCTCTAGTGTCTGGCATTGTTATTTTCTTATCACCTTTTACAGAAAAAAAGAGGAAAAAAAAGATGAAATGATGTTTGGATTTTCAAAAGAAGTTGCTTTTAAGAACAACCTTGTGCTTAAAAAAGACATTGAAGAAGTAGTTAAATGTTTCATCATATCCATGTACCTAAACACTATCATATTGTTACAGTATTGCTGATGCCACTCCGGGTGTTCTTGCCTTAATGGTTATGATATTGTCATGTTTCCTTGGTTGTTGGGTTTCTTTTTTTTAAGTTTTTTTTTGTTATAACATTCACTTCTGGAAAAGTAATTTTTTTTTAAGAAGAAAGGGGATTTTTATGTTTCTTTTTCACATCAATGTGAAGTGCATGTCCATTTTTAAAAGCTGGTCCACTCCCATGAGCATCACAGGCCATAACACTGAGCAGCCCATTTTTATTCTGCAACGGTTTGCTACACCCCACAGAGTGCTCAGAGCACAGGGAGTGCGCGTGTGTGTGTGCGCGTGTGAGTGCGTTTCAGAGTGTGTGTGTGCTGCGTGGATCAGACAACAGTCACTTCAAGACCAGAGCCTTAGTATGAAATCTTGCACAATTTGTAAAAAATGTACAAAAAAAAAAGACAAAAAAATACATTTAAGGCACACTGTCTTGTTTCTACTTTCCCTACATTTGCTCTCAACTGATTGTTTTCGATGACTTACTTTTTTTCTCTTGTGGCCATTTTAATATTTATTATGTATTCTTTTTTGTATATTATAGATAGATTGTGTGTAAGTATGTGAGTCCTTTCATTTTTTGAAGTCCCGAATGTGAGTACAGTTTCAGTTAGGATTGCATTTGCTGAAAGTTAACTGTGTAATCTGTTGCTTTTTTGAAAATAAAAAGTTTCCATTTTACAACTTTGGTTTTTATCCCTGTCATTGGGTTAAGAAGGCTTTGCTGTTTGGCCAGAGAAACAGCTTAAAAACAGATGCAAAAAAAAAACAACCTAGAATTGAGAAAGTCATGGAGCTGTTGTAAAATGGTCCTTGATTGGTTGATGATGGAATTTTACAATGTCCTTATTCTGTACTCAAATGACTTTGGTATTTCAACAAAAGTGTATATATAAGCCATTTCTACTCATGCTAACAGGCTCTGCATATGAGAAAATGATTTCCAAATGTGTCTTTTCTGGAACATAATCTGTTCTGTCATGTGCGTCCTTGGGACAGCTCGTCAAAATAGAATGTATGCTAAACCTTGTCATTGAATGTGAAGTGTGTTTGACATTTAATGGAAATAATCTCCATGAATATGTCCCTCCGGCACACTCACCCTCACAATTTTTCATACTGTGTTAAAGGGGAATACCACTGAATTTCAGATTCAATATATGCAATATTATTCCATATGGAATCGTGGTGAAGCACTCTAGATAATGAGTAGTCTCGCACTGAGCCCTGTAGTCATGTATGACATAATGGTTTGCCACATTCTCTCTGACACATTTTAAGGTCAAATTGATGTGCGATGGTACTGGATATGAATTAGAAATATATGGAAATATTGACTAATTAATGAATACCTTGAAATGCATAGCCAGTTGGTAAGAAATGTGCTACTTCCAATCCTTAAAAATACACCAAATGTTTGCAAAAAAAACATTATACATTCCATGCAAGGACTAATCAGCTCATTCATGGATATAGAATGGACATTTCTGGGTCAAATAAATAATGCAATGTAAAAAGTTCAAGCCATTAGCGCTTCTATTTAGAAAATGAGGTGATTAAAAGGGCACACGACGATGTTACATTTAATCTCAAATTGAGTGGTATTTCTCTCCAAAAGACTGAGTTTACAGGATGTCGAAGATGTTAAAAGGTACTATGTGCATCTGCGAAATAGAAGTTTAATTTGATCATCAATGATGTGTTACTTTCAATTTTGTTTCATTCAGATACTATTGTAGCTTTTGCCAATGTTGTTTCATTTGCCCACTAAAAGTCGTTCAATTAAGTAATGACCGAAGCCTGGGTGCCTGGAAGTACAAAATATGATGCTAAAATGGCCTGTAAACACTCCAGGTAATTGCATGGCAGGCTGTGGGTTTCACTGATGAGAAATATCTATTAGGGATCCATTTTCATTATGATGTTGGCAATTACTGTTATATTTTGGACATCGATCATTACAATATGGTCCCAGAGGTGCCAATTCAGATGTGGTGAAAGCATTTATTGAAATTTAAAGGACTAGATGGATATCAGAAAATGATCTGATGTCGTTACTCACAAGCCCTTTTCATGTTTTTGTCCATATTTCTGTCATTGACCATGCAGGTTTCCAGGTCATCTATAGTACAGTTTGGGGATTCTGTCATTTGTTATCAATTTACTGCTTCCAGATTGTTCAGCAACTGGAAAGACAAACTGTGAAAATCTGAAGGAATGTCAGGTTATATTTCAAGATGAAACAACTTATTGGATAATAATCGACCTACTATTAGACACCATCCAACCAGCTCCCCCACAACTTACAAGGCAATATTACCACAAGCTAGTAAGTAGATAAAAGCAATGCAATTAGGTGGTTTTACATGCTGCAACAGGAAAAGTCTCAGAGAGGAAAGACAGGAAAGTCTTAAATTCTTTGTTAAAAAACTTGACGTCCTAACTACCTAATATCAATTTTTTTGTGACACATTAGATGACAGACAATGCTATAGCATTTACACTCTAGGCTAAATAGTCGACTATTCGGTAAGCTAGTGATTACAGTTACAGTTTCTTATTTGTTCCAAATTAAATTGGACTGGATTAAATCTAGCTTGGACAATAAGACTCTCCTATTGTATCATGTGAAAGCCTATAACCTACTACCAAATGGTAGTAAGCTATGAGTGTAGCTAACTGGTTGTCAAATATGTTGTTACACTTTGTAGATTTGTATAAATTGAAACCATTGCCAGTTACCCTTGGTTTATAAAACTTACAACTGGGAATACATTTCCCAACCTTTTGAGTGACATCAGGGGAAAATGGCTTTCATGTGAAACTTGTACAATGATACTTTAGAGTAAGATGTAGATGGATGAAACATATATTGATAAAAGAAAAAGAAAATATTTTCTGGGATTTAATCTTTAAACTGGGGCTGAAACCAGGCTTCATGAGACTGCGGCAGGGATAAACATCTCATTTTAGCCTCATTCAGCATATGCAAATCACAAAACGGTGTCACTTTTGAGCGCTGGCCCATTTCATCGCATGTTCATTTGAGTGTCCCAGTAATTCTGTTTCTCTCCCCGTCTGAGGACAGATGACAGGCAGAGGTGGTCTGCTTGAAAGCGGTTCATCCTGGCAGACAAGCTCTAACACTTAACTCTTTTCCCCTCTGAGGTAACGTGTCTCCAGAGAAACACATTGTTCCCAATCAAAGCAAATTATGGGGCTGTGGTCTACTGTACCATCTGACTTGGATTGTTGCTTTGCACTTGTGTTTAGATCCTAGAAGAGAGAAAAAAATGCTAATTTTCTGAGGTAATTATAACGCTTTGCTGGAGATATTTTTCATTTATCGATCAGAAGACTTTTCTGTTGGATTTTGGCTGTGGATGAATGACAAAGCCATCCTTATTTCTCTGTCTCTTTGTATCTCAGTGGATTTATGCACACTGTTACTGTGAGTTAATGGGCTGCCAATGGGCTCAGGAAAAAAGCATCTCACACTAGCCCTCATTTGCTGGCTATAATTTGAGTAAATACCATCTGTTGACTGAGAAATATTGGCTTTTTTTCTATTAAGGGGGGGAAAGCACATCTAATATGAACATTTTATGTTTGTATAATGCATACCAAACCTTAATTAAAGTGCAGTGAGGGTCTGTGTCGGGAAGCACTCAAAAATGAAAAGCTGCCTTGAATGGAATGGAGTGGACGACTCAATCTTCAGACAAACTACTCAGAGAAATTGGAAGAATTGCTTTTCATCTTTGTGTTACCCTAGTCTGCTTTTTTTGGGGGGATTCTGTGACCGCTTGAGAAGCAATCTGGAATTTAATAGTTCAATGTGCTTAGCATAATTTCTGCAGGGCATTCATTTTGTTTTGTGAAATGACATTTACTCACAATGTTTTTTTTGTTCAATTTTCCCTGGGATATTTTGCTGGATTTATTATTTTATTTCTGTTTGTGACCCCCATGAAAGTGTGTGAGGAGTTTTTCATGCATCCATGTTGTCCTCACTCACAGGTCAAAACTTCATCAGTGTGTCAGAACAGGGTGCGAAGCCTGACGGTCCTCTTTTCAGCTTTAGACTACATAGTTAACACTCATCAAAGTGCAGAGCTGCAGTAGTTTCCTCTAATGGCTCTGCAGCTTTATGGCTAATGTGCCACAGCAAATCGCTAATGGTCAAATGAATGATAATGCGAGCATCACAAAATGTGTCTCTCTCTGCTTCTACATTTGAAGGGGTTTTAAAGAATGTCACTACTTTCGTCTGTTTATTTTGCTGCTGTTAAGAATTCATCTTGAAAAGAAACAATGGATTATGAATGAGCAGAGAGCAGGACAGAATTAAACTCATCATCCAAAGCTTTTAGATATGAAACCACCAGGTCATGTATGTCACTAAAACATTCGGGACTATGTTGGCAAATCCTTTTAGGAACAAGCTGGTTCTGTGGAAAAAAAAGGGATTTAAATTTTTACAAATGCCTGTGCAGAATTTTAAACAACATACTACTTTCTAGCATGTAAACAAACATGAATCAAAATAACTGTAAACCATTTACTGCTTCATATTGCATAATATTATGCACCAAGGATAATTTAGAATAATAAGTCTTTGGGTTAAGATGCAGGAGGAGAGAAGGTCCAATAAA